CCTGTGTGTGTGTGTGTGTATATATATATATATATATATATATAGAGAGAGAGAGAGAGAGAGAGAGAGAGAGAGATGCATATTATTAGTACTTATAAAGCACATATTAATGCCTTATTCTGCTTGACCATATTTTAGCAGCAAATAGTGATCTTAAAATAAAGTGACCGTATATATATGGTCAAACTTTATTTTAAGATCTCTATTCTCACTAATTCTTACTATTAACGGCAACTTTTGCCTCTTAAACTCCTAATTTGCTGCTAAAATATGATCAAGCAGAACCTTTTTCAAGATTCATTTCTAGTCAAGGATTGTCCAAATGAGTCACCGAGTGAGTCTTTTAAATGATTCATACTGCTAAATTATGTATTTAAAACTGATTTGTGAGTCTTTTTGATTAAAAAGAACTAGCTCATATGGATCATCCGTTTGTGAATCAAACTAGTTTTGCAGCATGATTGTTGTTGTCTACAAGTGGCGAGGACACTGCACATTAAATATTGATCTGATTCTTCTATTAATCTCATATATTGTCTGTTTATTGTCTTGGTTGTATTTTGTGGCACCCAGTCTTTCTGTCTCATCACACTCAGACTGCAAGGCCACAACTCTGCTAGAATGTCCCCTTCTTTTGCCACGGCGCTGTATAGATTCAATGTGCGTTTTGATGCTGTCTATCATTACTCTGATTGCAAGGGTGAAAAGGCAGCAGCTGGAGAGCCGTTCCTGTGGGATCACCTGGGAAAGATGTAAGAAATTTGATTAATGTACTGTAACATATGGCATTATTCACAGAGAGTCACCACCCTGAGTCAATTCGTTCTAATGGCTGACTAATTTAAGTCTTTTAAAGTCAATACCTGATATCTGAGGCCCACGGGGGTTACATGAGAACGCTTCGAATGGAATGTGCATGACGCCGTGTATCACTTGTCCGTTGAGATGCTCAGGGCATAACATGGCATGTTAGTTACACTATCCTTCAGGATATGACAGGTTACGTGTAGCGTTAATTTAGATGTCCTGAGCTATGAAAAGATGCAAATTTGTTTTTCAATACTTGATTAGCAGAAGAAAGAATTTTTCATATGACATACTTAAAATGTTTATTTGAAATGTAGAGTTCAGTGATATTTATGATAGACAAATTTCAATGGTAATGGTGAAGCAGCTCAGTATGTTTTCCTAAGTGAAAGTTTGATTCAGATAGTATCTGAGTACCTGAGCTCTACTACTTCAAACGTTTGTAGCAATGAATCGCTGAGCAAATGGAAACTCACAAAAAGCATTTCCTGGCGTAACCCCCTTGGCATTTCTGGCCAGCGCTTGAGATATCTCTGTTACTCCACTGGATCTTGTTCCAAAGGTCTTTGAAGGCCTGCCATTCAGCATATCAACAGTTCTCTCTGCTTAAAACTTGCATGCTTCTGAGATGGGCTGTGTTCATTTTAATGTCAATTTTATCTCAACCAACAGCTGAAAAAAAGCTGTGGAAATCGGTTGCTGCACATTAAATGTGTATTTGAGAGGTGTTGTAGGATGTTTATTATGTTTGTGAGTGTTTATGTCTGTAAACATGTCTGCAAGTATCTGTGTGCTTACATTAGCCAGATTTGCACACTTTTGGATACTTAAGTCACGCTTAATAAAATACTGACTCTACTGGCATCTCCAAACAAATGTATACTAAAGCTTTTCTCAGAACTAACTTATTATTTTAAACAAATGATGTCAATGTGAATGTGAATTTTTGTTTGGTTTTGTTCAAGTTTGTTTGGTTTGGTTTGTTTTTGTTTGGTTTCATTCAGTTTCGTTCGTCTGGGTTTGTTTAGATTTACTTGGTTTCATCTGGTTAGTTTGGTTTTGTCTGTTTGGGTTTTTGTTCTATTTATTTATTTATTTATTTTTGTTTTGTTTTTTTGTTTTGAGTTGGTGTATGAAGTCTTACAGGTGTCCTATCGGAATAACAATATGTCCACTAAATTTTAAATCTGTTGTTTTATAATTTGAAGCCTGTGGAAGCCTTTGTTTTAACCAATTGGTGTCAATGCGTTTCGTTTCGTTTCATTTCGTTTTGGTTTTGTACAGGTGTCCTTGCAGTATAAACTCAAGGTTTTCAACTTATTGTTTTGGAATTTGAAACCTATGGAAGCCTGTTTCAACCTTAGAAATTAAATTAAATTAAAATTAATTAAAATAATAAAATAAATTGAAAATGAATGAATGAATGAATGAATGAATTAATTTTACTATGAGGTAGAAACCTGCTTCCATAGAAAGATCTTTTTGTGAAATGTTTTAATTGTGCTATATTTCTTTAAAACAAAATCAAAGCCTCTTGATTTAATATTTCATCTGATGTGATGATATTTATATATTAAGTGCTGCTATGGTGTCCAAACACTTCTTGGGACCGCTGTGTGTGTGTGTGTGTGTGTGCCTCTGTATTGGGAAGAAGCCAGATTGTATTGCGACCTGGCCTGTTCTGCAGCCAGGACGCGCTGTGAAGTACATAATTATCAGGCAAGTGAGCAGAGATCCCTGCGGCATTTTGACCTCACACTGGCGTGACGAGACAGAGAGAGGGACGCAGCCCTGATTTTAACCCATCCTTCACCTCCCCGCTCGTGCTGAAATGCCCAGGGCGAGCAGAGGCTCACTATGCAGTCAGTCTCTCCATCCTCACTCCCGAGGTAGGAACAGCCTGTAGACCTGGAGCTCAAATCAAGTCCCTCTGAAAAGGGCGAATGCAGCTGTTCTTAACTGGGGCTGCTCTTGGGGAGGTGGGACAACAAAGGAAAGGTGCACTGGTTCCCTCAAGGAGTCATTAGATTGTGCTGAAAGCAGGATGGGAGTGCTCTCTCCAAAGACCCCTCTGAACATACATCATTTAAGAGCAGTCGAGGTCTAACCTCCATCATGCCGTCCCAATGCAAGCTTCCCTTCACCTGCGTTTTCATAGTACTGCAATCCTGATCAAGTGCAGATTCTTACTTGCATCTATCTTTGATAGCCTCAGCCAAAGATTGTGTAGAACGATAGGTGTAGAAAGTAATCGCTCGCTGGATTGAGGTCATGTTGAAAATGGAACGCTAACTTGCTGAACACTGCAAGTATACAGTGCATACTGCCCATTTTCTTTAAATAGTATGTAAAATAATAGGCATTATGCAACAATAAATGCTTTAAATTTTAGGATACAACTTTGTCACATGCAGAGTGTTGCATGTGAGTTGGGGACAAGTAATTTGACATTTGTAATTTTATTTATATTTATAATAATATATTTTATGTACTTTATGTATTTTGTTCTTTTAAATTATTATTTTGTTATATTAATTTCTTATTAGAAGCAGTGTGAAGCAGTTATGTTCATTTTTTATTTAATTACATTTAAGTATTTCTTTTTACATTTTAATTGACTTTTTTGTTTTAAGGTATTTACTTTTTTGTTTGGATTTTATTGCTTTTTAAAAAAAATTATATGTATTTATTTTTCTATTCTATTCTATTCTATTCTGTCTGACCACATGGCAGGTGTAAGCATGGTCCAAATTAGTAAGCAAGCAACAGTGCTCTCTTGCAGTTTCATTAATCGTTGTTCAGAAGAGCGCAAGTGAATAGGAACTGCTAAAATTACATATCTAAAATCTTATTCAAATACAATAATCATATTTTTTTTATGAAGCCTCACGATCATCATTTTCACAAAAAAGAGTCTCACAGCTGATGCAAAAGGAGGCTTGCCAGATTTACGCATCTTATTTGTATTGACCTTGTTTTATGGAGAAGGGCTCCAGATTAGTGTTCTCTAGCCCGAGCTTTCACTCAACTGTCTTGACAAGCCTCGCCATCATAAGAGTAAATTAGTCGCACCTCTATCCGTGAACTCGGAGACATTATTAAAAAAAGGGCGATCCACTCATCTGTCCCTAATATAATTCAGTATTAATAGCCTCACTCGAAAGCTTAACTAAGACAAATTGCTGTATTTTGAGGGCCCGCTTTTCTGTCTCTCTAAGTACCTTCTGACTTATTTCAGAAATCTCTCTCTGTGTAGCTGCCGGTCTTGATGTGTCACACCTAACAAGAGCCGCTGTAAATTTAGCCTGTCGATACGTGTCAGGCCTCATTTATCAGCCACCTCTGCTCGGCCGGTTTTCCCTCCCTCACCTTCTTGTATTCCTTTTCCCCCCCCCACCTGTTCTCTCTCTTTTGCTTTTCAGCACTGGCAGTTTTGACTTTGCCTGTGGTTTTGCCTTATCTCCAATCAGATTCCCTCTCACAAAGCCCTGGCAGGCAGGTGATGGGAATTCTAATCCCGGCTCCAGCCGAAAAGCTTGAGAAAACGAGTGTGGTTTTGTGTGTATATTTAGGGTGTGAAATTTGTGCAAATCATTCACTAAAAAGCACAGAAGTGAGAAAACCGATTTGTCATTTAAATGAGGCCAAATCAACACCTTGAGACACTCATTCTTGCCATCGGTGAGATAAGCCGCTGTGCTTCACTGACATGATTTTCACTCTATGATGGCTGGAGCTGCTCCCTGCTGAATTCCTAAATTGGGGGAAGTCAAACTGATACATTGTCTGCTGACTGGAAAGATTTTCCCCTAAGTTGTCCTGCCAGGATGCTGTGAGGAGCCGAATCTGTGATTAAACTGGCTCTTTTCTTTGTGTCTCCTCAGGGTTTGAAAGGAGATCCTGGACCTCAAGGCCTACCTGGTCTCAAAGGTGATAAAGTAAGTCGCCCTGCAAGTTTGATTTCTTGTACCAACCTTTACAAACTGTAGCACAGAGAGAGAGAGATAGAGGCATAGTCTCTATGATCTTAGGGATGTTTTTCAGTCAGTGAACTTTCCAGAATTTTTCTATACAGTATATAGAAAGCCACAGAGGCCTATATATATGCGAGTCATATACTTGCCTGAACATTTTCAAGGTTCTTTTTTTATTTTTATCATTTTAACATTTTAAAGTTTGAAAATGTCACTGCTAAACTTTCTAGAACTCACATTTTTCCCATCTCAGGCCCAGGACATTACTACTAGAGACTCCTTCCAGACCAATATTCAGATTAGCGGTCAACGGATATTGGTTTCTCAGTGGCAGATTCTGCAACCCATCCAATCATAAATATGTGGTGACAGCCTTGCAAAATGTCAATAGTTATTTGTTAGAACTCAAATATGACGTCAGAAAGGTCAAACTACAGAATTTAAAGGAGGAAATGTCTGCATAGTAGGGTTGAACGGAAAATGAGTGACGAACATGAGTTTTGCAGTTAGAAGATAAATATGTATGTAAATTCTTATTTTATATAATCAATTAAAATGTAACGGTGAATGGGATATTCATTGGCTGATATTCGAAGTAAAAAGAGTTACACTAAGGTTCAAAAGTCTGGGGTCTTTACGGTTTTTTTTAAATAAACTTTTGAAGTAATTAAATTTCTCAGTATTTCAAGATAAAAATATCAAATGTGTCTCTAATAATAATGTGTAGTTTAATTTCCTGTTGATTTATATCAGTAGTAATCAATGTGGACATAAGTGGGGCACAGATGACACATTTTTCATGAGAATGACTCATGTTTATTGACACTGATTTAACATGCTATGTGCACAAGACCAAATCCAGAGATGCGAGTTTCAAAATCAAACTTTAGTATGTTGTTTCACAAGCCATATATTTCATTTACTGTATATAATATAGATCAATATCTCTGCCAAGGGTGAACACAGATCTAGTCACTTCAGTAACTGTTTGAATCCGTTGTTGGTTGCGGAATGTAAAGGTATCCTTTTTATATTATGATATTAATTTACTAAAATCCTTTTAAGAACCATGACCACTGATGGTACAAGGAAACATGCGATCATTGATCATGTAGCTTATATTGCTTGTGCTGTGTGTAGCATATAGTAAATGCCTCTGTAAATCAGGCAGATGAAATGCTGCTCCGTTTTGTGGGATGTGGGAATCAATTTTATTACTGGAAGTCGCATTTGTAGTGATCGTGAAAACCATAATGTACACTACGTGAGAACAAACAAGAAAATAGAAAATGTAGTGTAATTCGGATTGTGCGTAAATATTAAAGGAATGTTTCAGATTATGAACAGGTTAATCTCTATTTGCAGGATCTGAGGCATGCTTTCAATTAACGCAGATATGAATTTCAATTATTTAGTAAAAACAAAGAACAAATATGTTTATATTAAAGCATTTAAAATGGGCAAGGCATCCCAGAGGGTTTCCAAATCGAAAAGTGAAGCTCATAATTTTTAGAGATATAATGTTAAATTAATTGTAATGTTCTCTGAGAACAAGTCATCATAAATCTCCCTAAAATTTGTTTTATATATGCTTAAAAACATTTAGCCAGTCTGCAAAAATAAAAATGTAATTCACTTAAAATAAAGTAAATAAATGAAATTGAATAAATTGTCTGAGAATGTCTTGTTTTCTAGTAAAAAAAATACAAATAAATCTTGCTACTCGAAGACACTTTTTGGAAACACTTTTTTGCAGTGTTTGCTTTAAGTTCCAGTGCAAAGGCTTTCCCCAATCACTTTCGTTTTAATTGCATCAATGTACTGTAAACATCATTTTTGTTTGTTTTCACAAATTTTGTTTGTTTCCGTGGTAATAGATCACATGTCACAGATGCTGTTGGTAGAACATGAGTCGCCTTTAATCTGGAACTTTCCTTTAAAATGCCTTCCAGAGTTCCAGCTCATCCAGACAGACCTTCACAGCAGAGGGGAAGATGTGACTTCAATGAAACAGAATGTAGAATAGAGCTTCCTACTCTGATATCTGCTTCCCCAACCCCCCGTGCACACAGACACACGCGTTCACACACACAGACCACTGCTTTCCAAACAATAGATCAAATGTTATTCGCTAATTAGCTGCCATATTACCCATTGCCTTTTACAGTTTTGGGTTTCTTTGTTTGCTTGCGTGCACACTTAATTGTCAATGCAGTGTTTTCAAGCCTTGAAGTTCTAATGAGCTCCTCTGCGTTAGAGCAGAGAATAACCAGCTTCTTTTCATCTCATCTCCCAGTCAGACAGAGGGTGGGAGGAAAACCGTTAGTTCGGATTGAAACTGACAGTCGGAAAGACACGTCACGCTCTTCAAACATAGAATGACTCGGAATATCTTCAAACGGGGCAGCTTTAGGTGTTCACGACTTTATATTTCTGCAAACTTTGATGTGGAGTTTCTGTGGTTTTAAATTGAATTTGAGGAAGGCTCTGCTTGTTTTTGTCAAGGGGTTTTGACTTAAACTGATGTCTCCGCTTGTATTTCATAACCTTGAATATATGAAAGTCCTTCATTTAAGAGCAGATGAGCACAGATACAGGAACAGCCCAGTCGTTTTATTATTATTATTTTAATTTTTTCTTATATTTCTGCAAACTTTGATGTGGAGTTTCTGTGGTTTTAAATTGAATTTGAGGAAGGCTCTGCTTGTTTTTGTCAAGGGGTTTTGACTTAAACTGATGTCTCCGCTTGTATTTCATAACCTTGAATATATGAAAGTCCTTCATTTAAGAGCAGATGAGCACAGATACAGGAACAGCCCAGTCATTTTATTATTATTTTAATTTTTTTCCCAGGTATGTCCCACAGAACTATTCTTAAAGGAATCGTTTTCCTGAAAATAAAAACTTTGTTGTTCCAAACCTGTATGACTTTCTTTCTTCTGAGGAACACATGAGGAGCTGTTTCTATAAAACATGGGAGGAATTTTCAGTTAAAATGTGGAACAATATTTTCACTTTTGGGTGAACTGTTCCCAAAATAGTTTACCCCGAATAAATATGTGGAAATAAGTGTAAACACCATAGTACAGATTAGTTTAAGCGAATGATTGACATTTGGATTTGCATCATTTCTAAGTATAGCACATCTCTCTGAAATATTTGATTCTGATTGGTCAGTCACAGAATTGTGTGGTCAGATATTTTTATTTAATTGCCACCAAACTGTGTAATAAGTGGGATATTATACAGTTAAGCTGATCATTATACTAAACAGACTATATAAATAGACCTGATTTATAATGTGCCAATGCTGTGTTAACTATACATTATCCTTTACTCATCTCTGGATATTTTAGGAACAAAATGCTGCTTTTTGGATGATTTGCTTTTATTTGTACTGTAATCACTCCTCTGAATTTTGTCTTTCTGTTGCAGGGGGAAACAGGTCCGTCAAGTGTGGGAACACTCTCGGTATGTATCTTACATCATCCTCCAGCAACCCTGCATGTTATTTCATAGCTCAACGTAAAACTGACTCTTTTTAAATGAAACCAATCATGAAGCATGATCTGCATTATTAATGATATGCATTAAGCACTGAAATGAGATTTGTGGAGAGTCATTGCTAAGGTTTAAGGAAATGGTTAACACTACTAATTGCTGACATAGATGTGAGAAAGGTGCTCAAGCAGGGTGTAATGATACATACAGTCTTTATACAGTAGGAAAGACCGGTAAACAGAGTTTCAAAGCTGAGAGACAATTACTTTTATTAACCTCACCTTCAGCTGCATTTGAGTATGGCCACTTTCTATGATCCAGTCAATTCCTGATGAAGCAAATATCATCACATTTTTTATTATTTAACTTACTGATTTACTCAAAAGTACAGAAGTACAAGCAATTAATATTTTCAGTAAGGATGTATTAAATGGATCGAAAGTGACAGTAAAGGCATTTATAATTCAATTTCAAATAAATGCTTTTCTTTTGAACTTTCTATTCATCAACGAATGCATCACAAGTTTCCACAAAAATATTAAGCAGCATAACTGTTTTCATCATTGATAATAATCAGAAATGTTTCTTGATCACCAATCCATCATATTAGAGCGATTTCTGAAGGATCACGTGACACTGAAGACTAGAGTAACGGCTGCTGAAAATTCAGCTTTGAATCACGGGAATACATTGCATTTTGAAAATATAATAAAATAGAAACCAGTTATTTGAAATTGTATTAATATTTCACAATACTTGTAATGTATTTAGTTAGAGTAAATGCAATTTTGAGACATCTTTCAAAAAACAAGTTTGAAAGCAGGATTGTAAAATGTGCTGTTAGCAATGTTTCATGTTGATTTTAATACTGAAAATACTGCATTCACTGCATTCAAACAAATAAATAAAAAGCAAAGAAGAGCCCACACATGCTCAGTCAGGGGCGACCAACAGCAGTGTGGACAGACTGGAGGTTAGACGTGTCCTGCAAGTAGAGAGCTAATATTTCCACACATTATATGAGGGACACGTCCACTATATCTCATAAGACACCAGAATGGGATGTATGTTCTTTGTGTGTAAGGATATAGTACTGCAGCTCTGGCCCTTTATGTAACATAAACATTAAACTAACCCCAGCGGAACTATATCAGGGCATAACGGTTATTTACTCATGCTAATTTTACGTTTTATGAGGACAAGCAGGAATACCAGGGATTCAAACGTGAGAGCCGACAACACGCTTGCCATATCACCACTCCCTCTTGTAGTCAAGTTGTAAATCATGCAAGACAAAAACATCTAACAAGCTTTCTTGATGTTTAAACAAATAGCATTTAGCTGACATGTTGGATTTTACATTTCAGGTTTTTATATTGTGTTATGGGTGTTGTAGACATCTGTCGCCCTCTTTTTTTTTTTACGACCTCTAACATCACAGGCCGTCTCTCCCCTGTTACATTCTGACAGTTTTAGGAGCCTTTAAAGCTCTTGTTCTCCGACTTTCACCGAACACAAGGAGCGAATGGCTATTTTTGCAGCTGTTTCTAAGATGTGTCAGTATTTTCGAGGATGCCAGCTGAAAGATGACTCCACACTGTTTTACTCTGCATCTGAAAGGCTGTCTGTGTGTGTATGTGACTGGTCATGCTGTTTGTCCTTTCAATGGGTCATGTACTGTAATGATATGTGTTCCTGACCTTTGTTCTAACAGTGTTAACAGCTGAACTTAATTGCTGTCTTTGTTTGATGAAACGGGTGATAATCTGTCGTCTGCTTTCTTCTAGGTTGAGCAGCAAGCTCAAAAAGGGGACCAGGTAAAAACATATTTGGGTTTTGTGTTCTAAAACTATACTGTACTTTCAGCACATAGCAGTGCAGATTTGACTGATTTTTCTGGAGAATTGTATTATAGTGCTTGTAAGGCAGCACTCAATACTTATATCCACCTTTTCTCCTGGATTTTCCTGCAATTTTTCATGATTCATAGGGAAAGCCTGTTGCCTTTTATGCAGTGTGTTTTTAATTAAACAGCTAGAAAAAGTCTGCTGGTGCTTCTTCAGAACGTTCTGCAGCTAATCCAGCCAGAACTGCTTAACGTACAGACTCGATTAAAATCTGTTTTGTAGAGAATTTTCAACTGGCTATTTTAATTGTCAAAATGTAATGTAAAAAAAAAATGTAAATGTAAAAAACAAACCAAAAAAAAGACGACGACATAGTAACTTTTGTGTTAAAAATTGTGATCAGTCTCTCTTATCTAGTTCTAAATCTATTTTCTGAAAGATAGTATTATGTTTTATGGTTCATGTTCAGGGACAACATAAAACAAGATGTGCTGAGCATGTCATCTGCAGCACTTAAATAAAACCTAACTTTACCTAAAACTTGTTCTGTTACTTTATTGCAAACACTGGCATTTCCAAATTTAACTAGTGACTTTACACAATATATTTTTGTATTTACTTCCGTTCAAAAGTTTGAGAGATTTCTGTTCATTAAGAAATAATTTTATTCGGCAAGGATGCTTTTTTTTTTTTTAAACTTTCTATTCATCAAAGAATCCTGACAAAAGTATCATGGTTTCCACAAAAATATTAAGCATCTGTTTTTAACATTGATGAAAAATAAATATTTCTTGAGCGTCAAATCAGCATATTAGAATGATTTGTGAAGGATCACGAGACACTGAAGACTGGAATAATGACTGCTGGAAATCACAGGAATAAATTACATTTTATTTTTGCTGTTTTTACTGTATTTTCTATCAAATAAACACAGCTTTTGTGAGCATAAAGACTTCTTTCAGAAACATCTTACATGCCCCAAACTTTTGAACGATAGTGCAAAGATAGATTAGGATAATAAAGCTTAGCCTAAAAATGTTGCTTAAATAGGGACAAATTTGGATGATTTAAAATATTCAGAGAATCTATATTTCTTTTTTTTTGTGCAGGGTCCCCCAGGAATTCCTGGAGAAAAGGTAAGTGCTTCAGCAGCATTTTCATGAATTAATTTAATCATATTTTTTTTGCCTTCCTTAATGAAGTTCACCCATGAGCTGTGAACATGCCTCTGTCTCTCAGCACTTTAGTAAGCGCCGGCATGTAAACCCATCCAGGCAGAGCCAGCTGCTTTGTCCTCATATTTAACATTAATCTTGCTTCTGGATGTAATCACGTTTTTGAGAGCATTAATGACCATGGACAGGTGGAAACCTCCGGACCCGCCTGCTTTATGTACTGCAATGCTTTCTGAGAACTGAAACCCTGATCCTTTACCCATCATCCCCAGGGAGACGCTGGCCTGCCCGGTCAACCAGGAGCACCAGGGAAAGAGGGCAAAAGGGTGAGTAAACCGAAGCAGGTCGCCGCCTGTGTGGGCTGGATCCATGTTGCATATAAGTGTTTGTGTGACTGAGCCATCAGCGAGATGGGCCTTTGGGAGTGACCCGGCAGCAGCTGGAACGAGAGAAAGATCGGGGAGCTCTGTGTGGGCCTAGTCTCATGGGAATGACTGTGAATATTCAACTGTAAGGTCAGTCGTAGACTGACAGCACGTGTGGCCGACCCCAGCAGGAAACAATCTCAAGGGTGATTTACTGTTCAGTCGTGACATGCTCGAACGTATTGAGAAAACGATACTGTTTCATTATTGATTTTATCCTTTGTTTCTCATCGCCACCAGCCAAGGGTTAAATTGTTAGTCTGCCCACGGCACGAAAGCTTTATGTGAAATTTGACTGCCTGCAACAAATTGCAGTTGCGCGTTCCGCTTATTTGAATTACCTAAGCCGCTGAGCCATTTCACTAGAGGCGCGCTAACACCTGTTAACGCAAATGTTATCTCGGCTCCTCGAGTGGTTAATGGTCCTGAATGGTGTACAGTTGTTTCTCGACTCCCTTGAATGTGATAAAAAGTATTAAAAATGTATGCCACTTAGATGGAGGAGAATACTTGGGTCCGCCGCAGGGACTGTAAGCACAGCATTAAGCCCATTCAACAGAATGAATGAATATTTATAATCCTCCGCAGGGTGAAACAGGCCTTAGCCTTTAATAGTTCAGAGTTATTGGAAGAGATCTCATTACGGTTACCTGCCTTCCTCACTGATTAAGCAAATACAATATCTCTTATAATATATTCAGGACATTTGAGACGTGCGGGCTAAATCAATGTTCATGGAAGCAAGCCGGAAAGCCTTTCTCATAGATTTCTTGGTGAAGGGGTCAAAAGAGTCAGATGAAGTTTAGTTAATAATGTCTGAATGTCAATATCTGTAATAACTCAAGCATATAGCATTAAAAGACACCAAAATAACAATTGAAATGGATCGGAGCACCCATGGGATAAGAGCTCATGTTAATTATGAGATGGAAGATCAGAGCGAGGGCAAGAGTGTTCTTGCACTGCAAAAAATCATTTCATTAATTGCTATTTTCAAGTTTTCTAGTAGAAAATATCCAAACACTGTTTAAATAAGATTAATTTACTTGAGAAGCCAAGTTGCATAAGACTTGTTTTCAGACAATATATTTTGAGTATTTTTCTTTTTTCTTTTAAGTATAAACCTTTCAAAGTTGTGTTTTTTAGAACTGTCCACATATCTTTTTTTATATAGTGTTGGGTAGCCCCGCCCACAACACAGTTTAATTGGTCCAAAATCCCACTCCTCTTGACTGTATGTATCTGATTGGCTGTTATTGTGCCTTACTGAGGAACCAAATTGTGGCAGACAACTGCTTTCCACTGGAAACACAAGTTAAGGTATTTTCAAATGTAAAGATACTGCACAAATACCGATGAATACCAATATGCAGAGGCGTTGCTAGACCTTGGGCTGAAGGGGCCCTTTTTTTTAAAATAACAATGGAAATGGATCGGAGCACCCATGGGATAAGAGCTCATGTTAATTATGAGATGGAAGATCAGAGCGAGGGCAAGAGTGTTCTTGCACTGCAAAAAATCATTTCATTAATTGCTATTTTCAAGTTTTCTAGTAGAAAATATCCAAACACTGTTTAAATAAGATTAATTTACTTGAGAAGCCAAGTTGCATAAGACTTGTTTTCAGACAATATATTTTGAGTATTTTTCTTTTTTCTTTTAAGTATAAACCTTTCACAGTTGTGTTTTTTAGAACTGTCCACATTTCTTTTTTTATATAGTGTTGGGTAGCCCCGCCCACAACACAGTTTAATTGGTCCAAAATCCCACTCCTCTTGACTGTATGTATCTGATTGGCTGTTATTGTGCCTTACTGAGGAACCAAATTGTGGCAGACAACTGCTTTCCACTGGAAACACAAGTTAAGGTATTTTCAAATGTAAAGATACTGCACAAATACCGATGAATACCAATATGCAGAGGCGTTGCTAGACCTTGGGCTGAAGGGGCACTTTTTTTTTTTTTTTCGGGTAGCCCTAAATTGTATTTCTCACAGAACTGTGAGCACAAATGGCAGGGTGTCCTTGCGCAAAGCCTTGTTATTATGACTCATTCGCGCCACTTTCATGGGATTGTTCCCGTTTCCGTTCTGCCCGCCCGCTTTTCTCACCAAAAATGAATTGCTACCTAGCAGGCAACTTTTTCGGAACAGCTCCCAGCACTGTACTTCATCACTATGGAGTCAATATAATGCCACATATATATGCAAAATAATAAAGTTTTGCAAAAGAAAATAAAGTTTTGCAAACGAAAATAAAGTTTTGCAAATGAAAATAAAAGTATTGAGAAAAAATAAATGTGATTTTTGCAGACAAAAATAAAGAATTGCAAAAGAAAATGAAGTATTGCGAGAAAAAAAAAAGTTTTGCAAACAAAAATAAAGGTGTTATTTTTTAGTCATCAACTATGTTTTTGTCCTGTTGTTTTAAGTTCATGGCTATTTTTAAGCAGGTTACACTAATCACTTTCCTTAATGGTGAATATAAACCAGCCTGTGATTACAACGAGAATTACAAGGAAATAAATACATATTTGAGTGGTGTAATATTATAATAAAATGTTTTAAGATAACCCATGTTTTTTAAATTACTAAAATACCCTAAATAGACTATAATAAGCCATAATAATTCAATTTTCGTTTGCAAAACTTTATTTTCTTTTGCAAAACTTTATTTTCTTTTGCAAAACTTTATTATTTTGCATATATATGTGGCATTATATTGACTCCATACATCACCCCCTCACACTTCTGCTGCTATTTGTCTGTCTGCCCACGGTGAAAAAAATTACCTACTGGATACCGCATTACCGTCATTCAGTCTTGGTAAAGTCAATCAAATCACTGAATTATGCACCCATGTTTTCATGTGTATATAGAGTAATAGTAGTTTTTGTTATTACTACTAAATCATTTTTAAATTATTTAAGTTATAAAAAACATTAAAACAGTTAATTTATAATTAGTAGAAGTAGTAGTACTATTGTTGTTGTTGTTATTACTTTGTTCATTTATAATTATACGTTTTCACTGTGTCTAGAATTCATCATTTTTAGTTGATATTTTATCCTTTCCAATATAAAATGCAACTCTAGTTTGAATTATTTACTTTGCAGGCAGCTTTGCATTGCGGCATGGCGCTAATGGGCTAAGTCTCCAATGTTATTTAAGTTTAGCGACACCCCTGCTAATGAGACCACTTTGGTATGTGTTTACATGTGCTTGCATGTGTGCGTGAATGAGTCTAAGTGCGTTTATTTATGTGTCTGTTTGTGTTGGAGGGTGGCATCAGGTTGATTTAAATAATAATGCTTTGCTACTGAATTGCACTAGGAGAAAAGGCATGAATAGTAATGCAAAGTGCTTGCTTTTATCCATTATGGATGGCACTGACACCACGTGATGAGCAAAACTGGAGGACTTTGGGACCATGTGACACTCTACAAGAGATCAAACAAGAAGCAGAGGAGCACCAACAGAAAAAAAAAAAAGGATCTCTCTCCTTCCCGATGGCGGCACACTGAAATATTCATCAGTGCTTGGAATGGGGTGCAAAGCTCTGTGCTGCTGGCTTCCTGTGCTACAGGACGCAGAAAAGCACAGGCCCGCATGCCATGGCAACGAGACTGCCAGTTTATGTTACACACAGTCAACTGGCAACTACAGCTGACATACATTTGCGTAATTAGTCAGAATTGAGTTGAAGAACGGCTACTTGTGCTGCAGGTGTGTGTAGGAGTGTGTTTGTGTGTGTGTGTGCGCTTGGGTAAACAGAAAGGGCACAAACCTCTGTAATACACCCACAGTAAATAGATGGTTTTATTAGGAGACAGAAAAGCAGCAGCCCACACTTGCGTATCACAGTGCACTCACCCCTAAGCCAGAACATACACAGAGCATGTTCCCGTTTAATGTTATGCCAAGTTCTCCAGCGCTCAGTGCTGCCCTGGCTGGCGTACAGTCATGTGTGGGTTCAATGTGTGCGTTCACCTCACACTCACACCTAATAGTGTTCGTCGGCCGTTTAGCTGGTGGGATGCGGAGTATTATCAAATAGGAGCTTCAAACTCTTCACTGAGCGGCTAGGGACGTGGAGAGCTCACTCTTATCTGTAATGTACAAAATCTGCTTTTTCACAGAGTGTGCAGCACTGCAGTACTGAACACCTGAGCAAAAATCATAATTAAATCATCGTTTTGGATCCATTTTGTAAAAGCAAAAGAAAGCATTGTCAAATCTAAGAAAGCATTTAAGCTGGTAGTTTTGGCATGATCTACTAATTAAGATTGTTCACAGTGATAGAGATGCTGTAGGTACTGTATACTGTGGATGTTTGAGTGTTGTGTTTCTTTTTTTTTTAACAGAGAAACTTCTATTGCAGTTGTATCTCATTGCTGGCATGTTTGAATCTTTTTATTTTAGTGTGTTCTAAATAGACCTACAAATCTTTGAATTTTGAAATCAAGAACTTAAATGTTAGTGAGTATAATGCTACAACACTTAAGTATTTATATAGATGGATAGGTATAGATATACAGTGCTGCTTGAAAGTTTGTGAACCCTTTAGAATTTTCTATATTTCTTCATAAGTATGACCCCAAAAATCATCATATTCTTGCACAAGTCCTGAAAGTAGACAAAGAGAACCCAATCAAACAAATGCAACATGATCTCATGACGAAAACGTACCTGTGGGAACTTTTTAGCAAAATATGTAAAGTACCAATAAGTACATATCACTGCAGTTTCCAACAGAAATGAACACTAGAGGCGGTAAAACAGTGAGCACTTGTAATCGTTTTCGTACACAGTTATGATTACAGCTCCATATGTTTCAGTTTCCGGATGTAACAAGCTTGCTCGGTAGCTCAGCCGGCACGGAATTGGACTTAGGATGTGGAAT